AAAAAAAGAAAATGGTTTTGGTAACTGTCACAACATTTAGGTAAGGTGTTCATCATATGGCTTGGAAAATGCAGGTAATGAATACCTTTCCTGTTAGATCTGGAACAGGTAATGGGGCCTACACTGACTAAGAAAACACAATTTTAACAGAAACAGTGTTTCCATAAAACTTTTCCATTAGATTCTTTTTATTGCTCTTACCTGTAATTTCATCATCTTTTCATTTAATTCTGTTCAGTGTGATGTCTTTGGGGCCAGCGGGTATTTTTATCTGCTTGTTGTAGAAGTGTTTGTTCTTAGGGCTCTGCAGTGGCTCAGGGAGGCCAGCCCCACCCACTCTCTTGTTACTTAGCACCTGTCCTCCCTGGTTGTTGGGCATCTTGTTTACTTCTGCCCTTAATTCCCTGCAGGTGCGTAAGTACAAGAGTATGATTCTGGAAGACCTGGAGTCTGCTCTGGCAGAACACGCCCCTGCGCCACAGGAGGTTAACTCAGAACTGCCACCTCTTACCATCGATGGAATTCCAGTCTCAGTGGACAAGATGACCCAGGTAATGGGCGGGAAATGAGGAGGAGATGCAAAGACAAGTGGCACAAGTGTGGGCGGGTCTCTGTGATCATTGTTCCTAGTTTTGTCCTAGTGGTGAGACTAGAGAGAGAGATGCAGATTGGAGTCTGAGAGTGAGACAGTAGCAGCCTTAGAAAAGACATTGTTGTGCCAGAAAAATGTTCCCAGTCAAGGGTGTGGTTGCAGTTCTTCTCCTGTTGGCAGTTTTTTTCCTTTCCCTTGGACCTTTAAGTTGGATAAAGAAACTTAACTTGGGATTGGTTTGAACAGAAGAATGTTAGGAGTTTGATGAATTACAGTCAAGTGGGGCAAGTAAACTTTTAGCCACTTTCGGGCGAGCAGCTTCCCTTTCCATGTAAATTCTGAGTACCACCACAACTAAGTAAGCTTTTCTCCCCAGGGAATAAGAATGGAAGCCTCAGAAGGACACTTTTATGAGCCATTGATTCTTTCTTCCTTTGAGAAGGGAAGCCAAAATGTACTTGATAAATTAGCATGTCCCAGTAATTTTGCTGAGATTGTTCTTTTTATATTTCTTATAGCTTAGCCTTATCACGATCAAAGACCTTTCTGCTTTTTTTCCATTTGTAACAACTTGGCCATTAGGAGGTTGAGAACCACTGTCTTAGAGGCTCTGTGTACTGGCCTCTTCACACCTCATCTTGTTCTTTCCCCTCAGTCTCTGGGCTCCAGCCACACTGACCATCTTTTCCTCTTGTTATTTTACCTTTACTGTTATCTTTGCCTGAAATACTATTCTCCCAGATCATTGCATATTGACTTTATCTTATGTAAAGTCTAGCTCAAATACTACCTCCTGAGACAATCCTTTCCTAATTATCCTAACTAATAAAGCTTTCTCTTCCCAGCCTAGACACTAATATATCCCCTGCATTACTGTCTTTGTAGTACTTACTACTACCTGAAACTACCTTATTTATCAGCTTTAATCCTTGTTTATGATCAGACTGTCTCTCCAACTAGAATTTGAGATCAGGGACTTAGTTTCTGTTCTCTTCTTTATTGTTGTTCAGTGCAGCTGCCCAGCAGTGAAATAACAAGGCATTCAAATAACAGTGTTAGTTCAGTGAATGACCTCAGGGTTAGTGCAAAAATGAATTAAGTACGGTAATTCAGGATTGCAGGTCCCCTGAGCAGACGCTCCCTGGGTGTGGATGCTGCTGCTGCTGCTGCTGCTGCGCACGAGGTGGCACTTTGCTTTCTTATTGAGTCTAAACCAGCAACTGGGTCTGGAGTACTACTACGTTTTATGAATATAAAGTGAAACTCTGGTCTTTTTATTGTTGGATTCACAGACCATTCTGTGAACACTCAAGGGATCTCTGAATAATATGTAGTTTAAAACAGAAAGCATTCAACTTTTTTTTACTATCCTTTCATAGTTGCTATTATTCTGTTCTGAGGGCCATTCTGACTGGAAAAAGTAGAGAAAATATAAGGTGGATTTTTTTTCTACCTGGTTAATACCTTTACAATAGTCCTGTGTTAGGTAGTCTCCTGTGGTAGGCATTTTTCCTCCTTTGTCATATTTGGTCTTTACATCTATGCTGGGCCAGGTGCCCAGTGGCTCATGCTTATAATTCCAGCACTTTGGGAGGCCAAGTCAGGAGGATCACTTAAGCCTAGGAGTTTGAGACCAGCCTGGGCAACATAGCAAGATCTGTTGTAAAGCTGACTAAAACCCCTAGTTTAGAATACTGTGTTAGGTAGACTCCTCTTCTGTGGTGGGCATTTCCCCCCTTTGTCACATTTTGTATGTTATGTTGAAACAATTCAAAGTTTTGATTATTTTAAATTATCATGCATACTGATTTTTATGAAAATTGGCTGATATTTATAGCAGTCAGCAAAGAGTTAGTTATTGTTTTGGAGGTGAAGCCCTTGAAATTCTATTGTTTTCCACTCTGTAGAGCTTGGTGTTGGGGGGGTGTCCATGAGGAGCTGGTACTCAGTCATCAGTCAGATGTAGGTACTTTGCTTCAGGTATGTGCTTTCGTTGTCATCACACATTCCCCTCTTTATCTTCTCACCATAGATGATGACTACTAAAAAGTGAAACATAACAAATAAGACAAAACAAACAAATGGTGAGGAGGAGTGAGCAGGATGTTGAAAAACCCAGCTCCCAAGCAAATGGGAATTTTTAAGTGTTTGGATCCTGGTGTTTTTCCTGTCAACCTGTTGTCATTATTGTTTGTTTTTTTTTCTTTCTTTTTTTTTTCTTCTTTTTGAGACAAAATCTGAGTTGCCCTTGGTAGAGCGCTGTGGCGCCATAGCTCACAGCAACCTCAAACTCTTGGGCTGAAGTGATTCTTTTGCCTCAACCTCCAGAGTAGCTGGGACCACAGGCACCCACCACAACGCCCAGCTATTTTTTTGTTGCAGTTTTCATTGCTGTTTAGCTGGCCCGGGCCGAGATCAAACCCTCCTGCCTTAGTGTATGTGGCTGGCACTCTACCTACTGAGCTACGGGCACCGAGCTGTGTTTGTTTTGTTTTCTCAAATACTCTCTTCTTAACCAGAACCAAATGCCTCTTTTTTATAATTGATCCTAATGCCTTTTGCTCTTAATGGTGGTAAAGGTAGGGTTTTATTTCAAACCAAACCTACAGAGGAAGGGTATGGGAATACAAGCACTTAATACACTGTCAAGATAGGAATGCGAATTGCTGTGCTTTTTCTAGAGGTTGACAGTGTATGTCAAAGTTTAAAATGTACGTGTTATGCTCTCCAGTTAAGCAAAGATGTATGTTTACTGTTTATCACAGCATGTTTACAATAGGAAAACCCAGAACAATATAATTAAATTATGATAGTGGCATTTCGAATTTACATGGAAAGAGAAACAGTGCAGCTCAAAAAAAATTAGTGAACTATTAGATAATAAAAATGATGATTTGTTCTCTACTTGCAGTATATTAAGTTTTTAATATATTAACTGTTGTAATATAGCCTTTTTTTTTTAACATATAGCCATTTGAGGAGTTTAAGCCTTTATTTTTTGTTTCTTTTGAGAGAATAGTTTTTTTTTTTTAATTCAGGGCATACAGAATTGAGCTGATGGATCTCATTTTCTGAAACATGTACACAAAATGCGTCTGTGTGTGTTGTAAAATTTTGGACTTAATGTACACTAAAATATTAACACTGATTAATCTGTGGTGGCCTTCTAAGTGATTTTTATTTTCTTTCTCTAATAAGTATGGCCTAGGTGTGGTAGTTCATGCCTGTAATCCCAACAGTATGAGACTGAGGATTGCTTAAGGCAAGGAGTTCGAGATCTGCCTGGGCAACATAGTAAGACCCTTTCTCCACAAAAAATAAGGAAAAGTAGCTGGGCATGGCGACATGCACCTGCAATCCCAACTATTGGGGCAACTGAGGCTGGGGTATCACCTGGGCTTAGTAGTTGAAAGTTATGGTGAGCCGTAATGGTGCCACTGCACTCCAACCTGAGCAACTGAGCAAGACTTTGTCTCTAAGAAAAAAGTAAAACTTAAGCATGAATTACTTTTAGTCACAGAAACACAAAAGATTAGTTTTGCATTTCATATTAAATTTGAATTTTTAAAGGCACACTACTAAGTTGTTTACAGAGACATTTCATTTAATTCACTCTCCAGAATATATGTGTATGTGTATTCATGCATGCTCATATGCTAGAACTTCCTGTTTTATATTTAAGGAAGCACAATTGAGGTATGTTCTATAGCCATAAGGAACAAAGTAAGTTTAACTGGACATTAATTCTAGATTTTCGACCACATGGGTAATTCATGACTTCCTTAAAGTAATAAAATTCCAGAATTGTCAAACTGTACTGTAAAAGGGAGATTTTGGTTAGCCAGGCAGCTCTATTAATCATCTTATGTGTACTTAATGCCATGGAGATGACTAATATTTATGTCAATGACCCTGATACACAATTCTAAATATGTTTTGATGATTCAAAAGAGAGTAAATTATATGTAGTATTGTTGTAATGTTACATTATTTTAAATCTTTATAAATTAGAATATTAACATGGTTTATTGGAAAGAATACTAACTTGGAATCAAAAGATCAAGTTTCCTTAAGTCCCAGTTGTGCTACATATTAGCCCTGGTTTTCACTTTCATCTTCTGAAAGTAAGAAGATGCCTTCCTACCTTGTAGAATCAGAAGAAGAAAAAATGAGGTATAGTATGGGAAAGTGCTTTGAAAACTAAGGCATCACATAAAGGTATTGTTACTAATTACTAATAGTAATTATCTGTATTACTTATATTAACTTATAAATAACCAAAACATACCATCTCTCACTCTTGTTTTATTAGAGGAAGTTAAAGAACTGAGGATTTTTATTTTTCTCAGCAATCAAGTGGGACAGTAGAGATGACAAAATATTTGCAGGTTGAAAATTGAGGCAGAAATAGGAACTTTAATTTATGGAGCAAGCTGGTGACAAAGCAGAACAGAACTTAGAACTGGGTCCATTTTGCCAGTGCTTCTCTGTCATTTTTTTGTATAAAACTGTATCATCACTCTGGTTGAGTCTTTCAACTACTGATCTACATTAGACATTTACTTTGTAAAAGAAGTTTTGACTTGCTCTGAAGATTCAAGTCTCCTATATACAGGTAGAAATACACATAACAGAGTATCTGAATTTCTATGTGAACTAAATACCTTGTTCTTTTAGGAAGCAGCTCCATATGGGTTGTTTATTTTTGTCTTTTCTGTTTTGTTTATAAAAGTGTAATTCTTTATTAGAAATAGGATATTTTATCTGCAAAGCTTCTGTTTTTACTTTTATAAATATATTGTGATCCCGGTAGTTGTTTTTGTGTGTGTGGCAAATAAAACACATAGCTCTGCAGTATTTTTAATGATAAAATGAAAATGTGAATTTCTAGGCACCTTTAAGAATAATGGTTGTATGCCTGCCCACCTTTCCCCAGAATTGGAAGAGGTTGAGCTAAAG